GGTGCCCCCCCCCCCCCCCCCCCCCACCCGGTTGATGAATGCACATACTTGATAGCAAAAAGTATAGAAGATCCTTTGTCAGTACTGAGAAACTTCAGAAGCCAACAACATGAAGGAAATGAGGAGTTGTATGGTATCGCTTGGGCAGAAGCATGTGGCAGTGAAGCATTCCAACCCTCACATATTAGCCTAGCTATTGAGAAAATCTGATTCTGAAATAAAGACAACGACCAAAAAGTGTCCCAGTTTTGATATGGATTTGCTTGTAAAACCAGGCTGATGGTTTGATTTTTTTTTTGGGTCATCTTAACTTGTTCCAACTTTTACACGTAAAAACAAACAAACAAAAAAACTACACACTAAAAACAGCATAGCATGCACTAATCAACTAAAATGTAGACAGCGAAAAGGTTTCAGCCTTACTACTTACCACCATCTTGTCCTGCTGGCTTTCTGTTCAGCTGAGCCCATGATTTTGGCCCACCTGGCACTAAATTGATATTCTGCAAATATTAAGAAAAACTGTAAGCCCAAAGTTCTATTTTGTTTATAGCATTGCATGCATTAAAACAGTGTGTAAAATGCATTTCAAGGGCTAATTTAAATTTTGCAAGCCCAAGCATTTTCGTTTCTTTTTAAACAGGCAAAAGATAATAATAGCAGGTTTACATATTTTGTTTTTAAAACCAGACTGGGGAAGGCTTAAAGCGACACTAAAAGTAGGAGTTGAGGTACTTCAAATACATTTTTAAAACTTATCAACAAAAATGTATCCGATTTGTGCATTACACGGCTGTAGATCCTCAAATCATCTCTGAATTGGTGCCGACACGGTCCTTCCTTCTGGAGGGTGTCATGTTTAGTTTAGGAGTTTACTAATTTGTATTGAGATTGTAGTCCACGAGCTCCACTGTCCTTCCTTCTGGAGGGTGGCTACTTTTGTTCCCCATGCTCCCTGTGCGTGTTGTAAAGTAGCCACCCTCCAGAAGGAAGGACAGTGTCCGCACCAATTCAGAGATTATTTCAGGAACTACAGATGAGTGATACACAAATAAGATATGTTAATAGTTAAAGTACATGAAAGCATTTTTAAGATTTACCTCCTGAGTTTAGGGTCACTTTAAAGGAGAACTATGAGGTCAGTGAAAATCACTCAACCTCATAGTTCGAGCCGACATGTGACAATCACACAAGGGTTCAATAGATCGGGAAGTGAGTGAAAGCATACCGTTGCTTGCTCACTTCACGATCATCTCCCTGCAGAGTCGTGACTGTCACGGCTCCCCGCAGGGATTCCCCCCCCCCCCCCCCACGCTCCCCCGTTTTTTCCCCTCCCCGATCCTCCAGCGCTGACTGGAGGAATGGACAGTGGAGGGGGCGGGCACAGTTGGCTCTGCCTCTAGATGGGAAGAGACAGCTGTCACTCACGCAGCTTGGTGGATCTCGACAGTGATGTTGGGACCCGTCCCGGCTGTGGTGGTCTTAGTATACAGCGAGCTGTAGCTCGCGATATACTGAGCTTTGGTTGTGTATAGATGTCACCAGCACTCTAAATATGACAGAATACGGCAAAAGTTTTAGTGAATCTACGTTTTTATTTTTTGAAGTCACATCTATACACAACGATTTTACTTGATACGGTGCCATCCGTAGTCATTGCGAGCACCCATTTTTTCATATGGGAAGTCCGGTAAGGTGTGCTACAGGTCCTTGGACATTTATACTGAGCTTTGGGTCACAGGAGGAGGTTAGTATAAGTCCTCCCGTGACCCTTAAGAGAACTATGGGGGAAAACACTTACCCCATAGTTCTCCTTTAATTATATATTTCCATAAACATTGTAAAAAAGAAGGAACATTAGTCAGGTCTAGTGAAGTTACCTGAAGCATACTGATGGAGCAAAATGTGGCCTACATCTAAGCTTCACTGATCTCTGGTCAGAAACAAAATAAGTCATTTAAAATGTTTTAAAGGGTAGAAGGATGGACTGCCAAAGTCAGGCAAAGCCATGAAAAGAGACCATATCTTGAGCCTAGGTTCACTAAGGTCTTGCAAAAGCTTCCCGATTCTGCTCATTAGAATTAGTCATGGTACACCCCATATTTCCCTTTAGATTTTTCTTTTGTCTGGACTTTTGTTTTTTGAGACCATTGTTTTATGGTCCCAAAGTCATACCTGGCCAGATGCAAAAGCAGGGATGCCCAAAGAATGTGCTTTCAGGTCAACACATTGGAAAGGGGATCCCTACTATAAAGCAATACTGTGAATATATGTTTTGAATGGAAGAAACACTGAAGCCCATGTAAAGCGTAACACTCATTTTTACTCACTTCCGGACTGTTCACTGTGTTCGGCTTCTGTAAATTGGAGACAGACTTCTGCAAACCCTGCTGCGGCAGCAATTCCTGCTGCGGAGGAACGGTCACACTGGAACTGCGCAACGAGAAGAGCAAACAGAACAAAATTCAATGTGGTTACTTTAATAGCTGGGCACTCGTAACATCATTCTTGAAAGAGCTTGGCACACAAGACACAGTTGGAGGACTTCACCCACAAGCATCAAGCTAAAACTGATTTTTTGTTTGACTAATTTTAATCATGTAGCTGGTTTTTTTGAGCTCATTTAAAAGAAAAAATGTTTTTGGGGTTTGTTTTTTTTTGAACACCTGCATTTGAAAGGTCAGCCTAAAGCTGAACTGCAGGTATAACTTATTTAGCATACTTACATTGGTCCAGCTTGACACAATGTAAGTATGCCTACGTCATACCCGATCTGCTGCTGGGGATCCTGCAAAGCCTTGGTTCTCAACTGGTGGATCGTGACCCAAAAGTGGGTCGCAACCCCGTGTTCAGTGGGTCACCGCATGCCTTCTACCTTACTAGGCGAGAGGCTCCTCAGGCTCCTCCGTACGCAGCACTGTCAGTTCTCACGCCAAGCAGGCATTCAAAATATGCTGCACGGTGCTGAGTATCAGCTTCAGGTGGATGGGATTGAGCTATGGCTGCGAGGGAGCTCCATTCATACGTGCATTGCTTAAAGCTCCCTCACGTGTCCTGTAGAGGTGCCTGGACCGGAGTGACATCACATTCTGGCTCCCGGCACCTCTATGGGGCATGCAAGGTAGTTTTACAAGCAATGCACATATGGATGGCGCTCTGTCACAGCACAGCAGCCAACACTGGACCCCAGGCTGAGGATCCACTCCAGTTCTCGTAAGATAGGGAGACTGGGTGGATTTTAAGAAAAGAAAATTAAAATATTTTGGAGTGTGAGAGAATGTCTGTGGTTGTGTTGTGTCTGTCTTTGAGGTGTTTTTGAGGGCCCATTCACACTAGTACAGTGCGTAAATTGCACAGTCCCCGTTCTGGTGTGGCAGGTGTGTTGCATTGCCATTCATTTGAAAGGCACCTCAAAACGCACCTCCCACCCACAGTTCGATCGCCCGCACCGGAACGCGCGGTACTGCAATGCCGTGGGTTCCAGTGCAGTGCGACTTGGGTCACTGTCAAGCACAAATGTGGGCCCTGAGGTTACACAGGTTGAGAACCACTGTGGTAGCCAGAGATACTAACTACAATGCTGGCTGCGATAGCCCGGGATCTGTATAGTGCTGTGCTTAGCAGCTTTCCCTCTGCTCTGAAGAACCAGGGGGGCACTCACTTGGCACAGAGGATGCCTAGAACTTGTATCAATAAAAGGAGCTTTGATTGGAAGAAACGCAGATGACGTCGCCACCACTCGTCCAATCAGTATTCATTGATAATAGTCTAGACATTCTGAGAATGGCTGCTGTATTAAGTAAGCAACCTCCTGTTTCAGAGCAGAGGGTTAGAAACTCGGCACAATACAGTACAGGACCCGGAAATTCTCAGCCAGCACAGTAGTAGCTCTAGCTTTACTGATCGGGTATGGCATATGCATGCTTACACTGGACCAAGCTGGAAGTATGTAAATTAATACTTGGAATGTTTTTGTTTTTATGACCATGGACATATTCATATTTTCTCATAGTACGTGCTTTGCTTCCTGCTTAGCAAATGCTGCACAATGTGGAATATCAGCACAATGAGAGTTCTCTAAATAACCTGTGTAAACTATGTATATTTTGTAGTTCTAGATCTACATGGGATAGCCACATTTGCTTACTACAGAAGGAGGTTGTTACTGCTGAGCATAGTGCTACACAATGGATGTGCTTTGCTGACCGTCTTATCTAAAACAATGTACTAGACGAGATACGCGACTGAAAAAAAAACAGCCTGTAATAAATCACCCATAATGCACCCTGTAACACATGGCTTCTGCTTTTTGTCTAGACTTCAGGTTACATTAAGAAGAAATGCATTTAGGTGATGCCAATATGTTCTATTACTTTACATGAAGTATGAATTTTGTAAAGCCAGATAAAATGCATTTCAGTGTCTTGCAACCTAAAGAAAATTATTTGAGAATTTAACTTACCCCACTCATTTACACCATAATGACCAACAGCGCAGATTACACAGAGGAAAAACAAGGCGAGTACTGTTGGTGGCACAAAGCCTCACTCTTGATAATACCTTACCAGGTTTCAGCTATAGGCAGTAAATCACGTTGGTAAAAATGTTCACTTTGACAAATACCAGTGGCAGGCACTAGAGCAGTGGTTCTCAACCTTTCTGGGGCCGGGACCCCTTGGTAACATTTGCCAAGTTGTGGGGACCCCCAACAGAGCGCTGGACTTGGGACTAAAATAGAAGCACACTCACAAGAATACAAGCCCTCCCCAGCCCCTGCTACCTGCTTCCCTGCTCTGTTGCCTCCATGCAGCCTTCTCAGCCCCGGCACTGCTTAGACGCCCACCTCCTGCAGAGCTCACATTGTACGGGAGGCAGGACGACAGCAGCGGCTGTGAATAGAAAAGCCCTGCTGTACACACTCCCCAGCCACTAGATGATGCTGCAGCGGCCAGGCAGTGTGTATAGCGGCACTTTTATATTCACAGCCTCTGCTGTCCTCCCGCTGACTGACACTGACGCGCTAGGAGGAGGCTGAGGAGCCTCTCACCTAGCGCAGAAGTGGATGCTGCGAGCCCCTCAACAGTGACTTGCGACCCACTTTTGGTTATAATTTTATTAGAATATATATATATATATAT